CCCCCTTACCGCATCGCCGCCGCTGTCCCCGCACCAACTGTCGGAGGCCCAGAAAAGAGCGACTCCAGACGGTCACTGCGCAAAAAGGCCCAAGGTTCGCGCAGATACCAGCGTCGAGAATGCTTCGCTTTCCCTCAGAAGAGGGAGCTCAAGGTTCCCGGCGTGCACAAGAGAACCGCCCTGACGCTGTCCGTCGGCGAGACCAGCTAGCCTCTTGACGGCTTGCAAAGCCCGCCCAGTGTCACACCCACGCACGTCTTCCACGCTGCTGCGGCCGTGGTCGATCGTGACCTGCAGCCCGTGTCTGAGAGCGCCGAGGCGCGTCCGCTACATCAACTACATCCTCCGCAACGAGCGCGCCGGCTGCGCTGAGCCGTTTGGCACCAGCAAGCACCCTGCAGCTCTGTATCACTCTGTTTCGGGCCAGAGCCTCGTTGTTGATATGGATATCACGCCCGGCAAAGCCGACGCCGCGACGCGCAAAGAAGAGTTTCATTCCATCGTGCGTCACATGAGTGAATTTTATAATGAGGTTCGCAACGACAGCGAACATGCCGCGTTGGTGCCGGACCTCTGGGCCATGGGAACGCCAGAGCTGCCCCTGGTGCCTCGGCCGCTGCCAGTACCCGCACCCAACAGCCACCCGTCCGTGTCCATTTCCAGCATGGGCCGCGTCGACACGATTGTATCGCCCAGGACGGGCGCCTTTGACGTGCTCGATGCCTGGGTCACCGGCGAGGAGCTTGGAACGGGGCTGGGCATATTCCTGGGTTCATTCAAGGGACGCTTGTGCGTGAGTGCTGCGTATAACGACGCATGGCACAATGAGGCGGGCGTGTCAGACTTTCTGCAGCGCGCCAAGGATGTCGTGTGGGCGGGGATGGATCTGGGAGTGTAGTTAATTGAAAGCCCCCCCAGTACATAGTATCCAGTCACACGAGTCCGGTCGTAGCACGTTCAATGACAAGCTTTATTTTCTCTTTTAGTCCTGTCGCGCAGGGTCCAGCTCAATCTTGCCGAAAGCCTCATCAATCTCGGCCATGACATCGGGCGTCAACTTGTCCAGGGACTGCAGAGCCTTGCAGTTGGCAACGACCTGCTCTGGCCGGGAGGCGCCCGTGATGACGGAGGAGACGTTGGGGTTCTTGAGGCACCAGGCGAGGGCGAGCTCGGCCTGCGGAATGCCAAGCTTGTCGGCGATGGGCTGATCCGTTAGCGCAAGTCCCGAAT